TTTTTTTTTTTTTTTTTTTTTTTTTTTTTTTTTTTTTTTTTTTTTTTTTTTTTTTTTTTTTTTTTTGTCTTAAGTGAATTCTAAGTCCTTATTGTTGGAGGATGAAAGTCCCACATCAGCTAATGTAGGGAATGATCATGGGTTTATAAGTGAGGAATACTAACTTTATTAGGTGTGAGGCCTTTTGGGAAGCCCAAAGTAAAGCCATGAGAGCTCCACTCAAAGGGGACAATATCATACCATTGTGGAGAGTCTAACACTTATTAATTATTGTAAATGTTATAAAAATATAGATGCTAAATTAATGCAGTCCACGAACCTATAATTATAAGAACAAATTATAGGTTTAATATTGTTATCTTTATTCATAGTATGTAAGTTAATATTATTGTAAGCTTTCGACCCAATTCTTCACAACCCTTCTTTAGAGTATCGGAGTTTGACTGTATATTTCAACCTCTGACTCAAAGGATAGGGTGCAATGTTGGCACACTCATACAATCTGCCATTGTCATGAAAAACTCATTTCCAAAGGAAGTCGCTCAACTCTTACTATGCACACACGAGGTGGCTCACTTAGGCTAGAGATCCTGGGGCGTTGGAGAACCAACATCATGTCTACCCCTAGAATACATTTTAAAACATTTTTGTTTTGGCAAGAGTGTACGTTATTTTGACAAGGAGCGTAAAGCAACGTAGAACGTCTCAAATTTGGTAAGTACTCATAGTTCCCTTATACGGGTTTAACTCTAGAGCCACTCGTCAAAATTCACGTCTAATCGTGTCTTTTGAGATTGTGGCATGGGGCCCATCTAACCTCCATTAAGTTCGTCACTAACAACCTTGACACCACCATTGCTTCTAATATTTTTTATTCACAAGTTTGTCAATCTTGTCCACTCTACTTCTTATGTTTTATGATACGTTATTCTCCTTAGTCATATCATGACACTTGTATTTTCGACTTTCATGTAGTCCAATGGATGTCACTCACATGTCGCTTTCTATCTAAAGGCACATGGAGGTCACAACGTACTCTCTTTTTGCGTTACGAGCTCTAGAACCATTCATTCTTCTTCAAGCTTCCTCCTGGTCAGGTGTCTCCATGAAGCTGAATAAAATTGACTAGGTGTCTACATGAAGCTGAATAATTTTTTTCTTTTCTTTATTGTGGCTTATGAGTTAGGCTTGCGGAACGATTGTTTTTAAGTTAGATTCCACATCGATTGGAGAGGAAAACGAAGTATTTCTTATAAGGGTGTGGAGATCTCCCCTTACTAAACGCTTTTTAAAACTGTGAGGCTGATAACGATACGTAATAGGTCAAAGTGGATAATATTTATTAATGGTAGGTTTGAACTGTTACATTTTCCTTCGGATGTCTCCTGATACATAAGAGGAAAAAGTTCCAAACTCTAATTGGTTTTAATTTGTAGCTTGTCTAGCCCAATCTGAGAAGTGCTAATTCGGTTTGTCTTGAACGTTAACGATTTTCTTATATGGTGATATCTATTCTTTCTAGCAAGAGGTATCGAGTTAACATTTGATATTGAAATGGATGCTTTGATAGATTTTACCGAATTATAAGAGGATCAGATTGACCCCAAGAACGAGTCATGAAAACGAAACAAGTAGAACCACTAACTGTGAGATCCCACATTGATTAGGAAGAAGAACGAAACATTCTTTGAGGGTGTGAAAATCTCTTCCTAGCATATGCATTTTAAAAACCTTGAGAAGAAGCCCAAAAGGGAAGACCCAAAGAGGACAATATCCGTTAATGGTAGGCTTGGGCCATTACAAATGAGGTGAATTGGGGGGGTCACACATCAATTGGAGAAGAGAACGAGTACAGTGAGGACGTTGGATCTTGAAAGGAGATGAACTGTAAGATCCTGCATTGGTTGGGGAGGAGAACGAAGCATTCTTTATAAGGGTGTGGAAATCTCTCCCTAGTAAACGCGTTTTAAAAACTAAGACAATGTCAATGAGTTGAACCGCTACACTGACGTTTAGAAATTTCAAACTACGTTAAGCTCGGGATCACAAAGGATGACTTGAATGAAGAGAAGTGATAGAGGATAAATTCATTGAACTTTCTACAAGAAAGACAGTTAGAGATATCTATCACAGCTTAAACGACCGAAAAAGAGGGAGTAATACACAATCAAATGCAGCAAAAGGGCAAGATACAGCTGAAAGTAGATATCAAACACAAGCTAATCTTGAAGATTTTGTGAGCTATAAAGCAACTTGTTTGAGTATTAATGATGAAGCTAGCGTGACAGGTTGCTATCAGTTTCTTACTAAACTAACTCAACTCATTATATTTAATATTATGATTATGATATCACAAATTTGATGTTTTCTAGCTTATTAAAAAAAAAAAACACTCCAAATCATATGTTTAATGAAGAACTTTCACGACAGCGTTCGTTAAGTTTTCGAACTTTTAAAAATTATAAATTTAATTTTTCGACTTTCCGATTTGTAACAAAGAGGACGTAAAGTTTTCATAGATCCCTGAACTTTTAATTTATATCTAATACATCTTTAAATTTTTATTTTTGTACTGAATATATCGGTTTTTAAATTTTAATGGAAAGTTTAATGATCTATTAGATACAAAATTACGACTAGTAGAGCTTTCCCCCCTTTTCTACCCGCTTCTTTGGTCTTAAGACTATTGATTTTAAGAATGAGTGATTGCCCTTCTCTGACCCTTACTGCCAAACCGGATAGCGAACATTTAATACGTTCCACTTATTGAACAGGGTTCTACGATCAGTCTGCGACTCCTGGATATTGAAAGGCGTCCTTGGGGTGATCTCATAATTCCTACGGAGTAGAGACGATGGGGTCAGTTCATGGATTTTTCTATACACTTATTATTTCATTTATAATTGAATATCTCATTTAATTTTTAAAAAATTATTGAACTAAAGTTGTATTGGTATTTAAAATATATATATATATATATATTTCTTTATTTGAATTTAAATTTGAAATGAGAAGTAAAAGAAGATGATCGGTAGAAGCAGGGATAGAGATGTCCACCGAGAGGAGCAGGGATGGGGATGGGGAAGTCTTTTCTATCCCGTCACCTATGTATGCAGATATTGTCATTTTTTGGTTTTTTCTGTCGGGCTTGTTGATATGAACCAAAAGGCATCAATCATACAATATATTTCAATGGAGATGTGAAGAAAAGGTTGTCAAAATTATCCAAAGGTGTTCAATTCATGCCACAGTGAAGAAAAAAGAAGTGTAATTGTTATAAATTTTGGGTGGGTTACAATTTAGAGTTTTTAGGACTTTTTATTTACTTTAGGTTACAATTACATAATGGTTAATTATGACCCTTAAGTATGAATGTTATAATTCTTGGAATGCCTAGTAGTTTCATTTTGAGGCTATATAAAGCCATGTATGTTGTATTTATAAGAGACTTGAAAAATATAGTAAAAGAAGCATTTGTGCTCTTCTTTAGCCAATGGCTAAGTTTCTTTGCAAATCTATGTAGTTTAGGTTGCATGTAGAATCATTCAAGTTCGACATGATCAATCTTGCTTGTGGAGTGATTCGAATCTCAAGCAAGTGTTCTTGCCTTGAGATATTTGATCAACAAGAATCAATCAAGCTAGACATGATCGATCTTGCTTGTGAAGTGATTCGAATCTCAAACAATGTTCTTGCCTTGAGATATTCGATCAACAAGGTAATCTGAATCTTACTCCCTTTGTAGTGATTCCTTATCTTATCACTTGTCCTCCAAACTTTTAAAATGTGTTCGCTAGAGAGAGGTTTCTACACCTTTTATAAAAAATGTTTCGTTTGCCTCCTCAACCGAAATGGGATCTCACAATCCACCTTCTTCTGGGTCCAGCGCCCTCACGGACACTTGTTATCTTGGAATCTCACAGTTTTAGTTGTAATTAACATAACTAAGCAGTGAATGAACATGGTACGAAAACGTTTTCATAGTAAGAGTATCATAAATATTCTTCGTATTAAGAAACCAAACTATGAGTTCAACTACCACCAGAGAGTTTTCTTATCTTGAGCGATGAATTTACTAATATGATATTTCGTATAAATTTACGTTAGACAATCTTAAGATTATAGAATCGACTCGTGATAGTCTACTAACTTTAACACTAGTCAGAAATGCAATTGTGACAAGTGAGAGACAATAGGTTGGAATTAGTAGACATAAAAAAGGTAGAGGGGACGTGATATGGAAAATCAACCCAAGGAAAAGTATGGAACGGATTACCTTGATAATCAAGATCAAGAGTAAAGAAAACTCGTTTCTAAACTCGTGATTCGAATCACTCCACAAGAGGTTTGATCAATACCACTTGAATGACTCTACATGCAAGTTCTAAACACAAGAATTTGCAAACAAAATTTAGCTCTCAACAAAGTTAAAATAGAAATTCTATTCTTAATTAAAAAATCTGATGTCTAATCAAGAAAAGAAGGCTTTATATAGCCCTTACAACCTTAACCTATGTGATATATAACTCCCAAATTAAATGGGCTAGTAAATGAAAAATACCCATAACCTCCATATTAAAATGGCTAGTTAATGGTGAAATATAGTAACCTATGTGGGTTACAATATAACCTTAACTTCTATATTTAAAACTAGCTACAAACAAATATTTAAACTATAATTAAATAATGCAATTAATAAAATGTGTTTATTGACTCATCCTTGGACTAGTTTCATAAATTCAGCGGAGTTCATTAAATGCAACTTAAAGTGTATTTAATTCACCTCTTTCTTAAAGCTCAACTTTGCACAACATATAACGGAGGTCTCCAGCGTCTTCTAGAATTTCCTTTGATGAGCTCATCATAGCTTGAATATAACTGTATAAGGTTTGTTGTAGCTTTTTAGCTCTCGTCCTTGTAATTGGACCATCAGGTATGGAAATTCCTTGGTTGTGGTTCATATCAGGACGTTACAAACTCCATTTCACAATACTTTCTTTCAACTTATTTTCGACGATTATTCCCACTCACGGTTTCTAAAACATTTTCTCTTGAAATGTGACTCAAGGTTCGACCATATGTCTTAACTGTCCGTGAAGTCTGATTTTACAGAATTGAATTATTTATTGAATTAGAACAAGTGACATATAATCGTTGTCTCAGACGGAAATGGCTACAAATGAGAGACATCGAGCTGGAATTGGCTGGCATAAAAGGAAAATCCAGTGTGAGTCAAAGGTGAGACTTCCAACCCTACTTGTCTCTTTCTAAGCTAAATCTTGCTGGCTCCAGCTCCTTGTTTCTACCCCCAAAATTCATTAACAATTATTTATTGCAATTCCTATGAAAAAAAAAAAAAAAAACATCCTTAATTTATCCATTTTCACTATAAATCTTTAAATTTTGATCGATTTAATTCGATTTTGATATTTTTCTTATCGAGTTCGAGTGTTTGTAAAACAAAAACAATTTAGAAGTTTAAAAGATTAATAATAAGATTCAAATTCGAAATTCAGCACCTGATGATTCTATTATTCTCCTAGATCTCTTGCGATATGGTCTCGGTTCTCTCAGTATGAAATTTCTTAGAAAGTCACCTAACATAGAACAATTCATTTTTGTTGAAAGCAAAACACGTTTAATTTTACCGTTCTTGTAATTGAGCCACTAAAAAAGAAAAGAAGTTACTTTCAACAGTATCACTCAATATCACTCTCATTTGAATGTGATACTCGTTCTTGTATCCTTCGTTTTCTTGGGTGTGACAAAAATTGTGGAACCAATTAACCCTATTCAACAACAAATATTTTATGTGTCGTAAATATTATATATATTTTTATTTTTCCGACAATCTTGTCCGCCTTAAACATAAAAATTAAAAAACACCATATGTCAAATACTTGAAAAATTAGGTCAAATAGAGAAGAAAAAAAAAAAAAAAGACCAAAAGTCCAAATATGTCATTTGTTTTAATTACCTTATCCTGTTTGGCTCTCTTGTTTTCTTTCTTTTATTTAATGTTATAGTGTTTTACAATAATAAAAAAGTCAACGCTACTTTTGGAACATTCATGAATCAACTTTTGATTCTTTTTAATGATTAAATTTATTTTTTATGAGAAAAAATGGCTAATATATTTATTATCGTATTAATTGATTTTGATGAAGTCTGTGGTTCCTATATCGATTGAGAGAAATGAAACGTTACTTACAAGAGTGTGAAAACTTTTTCCTAATAAATATGTTTTAAAACCGTGAGACTGACGATGATATGTAACCGACCAAAGTAGACAATATCTGCTAGTGGTGGGTTTGAGCTGTTAATATGAAGAGTGAATAGATTATCGAACCAGTCATAACTCCCTTTCTCTTTCTTTTCGGTCAAACTTGTCTAGGTTGTCGTCATCGTCGTCGAGTAACTAATGCTCATGATCATGATATTGATTATTTTGGTGCTCGATGTTTTGGTCTAATTATTGTTATGCAAATCTAATAGAACTAGACGTTTAAGAATTTAAGAATAATTTTGTGTCAAATTTACCTCTTCATTATAACTTGTCTAGAAGACGTGTCTCAAACAGGGAGGGGACTCTTCGTTTAGACGAAGAATGAGAGATGAAGTGAGAAACTTTTTTTTTTTCGGTTAGATAAATAGGAATAGGATTATATTCCTCGTCTATATCTCCGACTCGCTTAATATAAATATATTATTTTTTGCTTTATTAAAAAATAATTAGTTATTTTTTAGACTCTAATTAAAATATTTAAATTAAAAAATTGTTAAAAATTATGTTGTAATATTAAATTTTTGATCGGTAGAATATTAATATATACATTTCCTTCATTTATTAGGATTTTTTTTACCGTTTTTAATAAATATTATATAAAAAAATGAATACGAAAAAATTACAGCGGATGTTTTCGGCAGATAATCCCCGTCCAATCATAGCAAATATAAAAAAAAAAAAAAAAAATCACGGGATAGAGAATGAAATAGGTAGTAGGGATAGGGACAGTGAAATCTCCTCGCCCCGTGGACATCTATACTTACATTGTCGACGTTCGATCGAAGAGGGTCGTAGTGTTTTTATTATTTTTGGTTATTTTGTTAGTTCGATAAATTATGTTTTAAAATATTTATTTAATTTGTTAAAAGTTGTTATGATTAAATACAATAATTGAAGAAAATTGAGGTCTTAACCTCCAACTCCCCAACTAAATCACCACCCTCTTTCAATGCCCTTTCTTTTTTTTTCTTTCTTTATATACCAAATCCATTTTCCCCGCTTTATCTAACACTCCTCGACTTCCTCTGCCTTCTTTGTCTTCCTTCCTTTTCTCTCTCTAATGGCTCCCGCCGCTAAGACCGTCTGCGTAATGGACGCTTCCAGCGGCACAGGCTCGGCGCTGGTGGCTGCGCTGTTGCAGAGAGGCTATAACGTTCATGCTTCTGTTCAGAATCACGGTAAGAATTGAATCGAAATGAGTTTTGCTATTGTGATTCTAAATTTCTCGTGAATCTGAATCTGATTTCGGTTTTGATTTTGTCGTAATTGCTGAAATGTGCGTTTGATTTTGTGGCGAGTTTTAGAGGAATTGCAGTGTGTTAAGGGAAATACGAACAAATTGAAGGTTTACCGTTCGGATCCGTTGGATTATCACAGCATTATGAACGCTCTTAAAGGATGCTCCGCTTTGTTCTACTCCTTTCAACCTCCTCCTGATCATTCCACCTACGATGTACCTTTTCTTCTCTCTCTCTCTCTCTCTCTACTTTCTCTCTCTAGAAAGGAATTTTGCTTCCTATTTTAGTATAGGAATTTTGCAGTCACCGATCGTTTTTCCATGCTTCATTTTTGTTCGTTGCTATATTAATCATGATATGAATTAAGCTTAAATCTTATTATATTTTGATATACTTAAAATTTAGTTGATCTTTCAGTTCGTCTAGAGCTTTTGAAACATTGTTAATATTAGTTCAACAGATTTGGAATTTAACCTTTTAATGGAATTTTGTACATGAATTTTTTTGATAACTGAACAAGTGGAAAATTAGTAGTCGGATTAAGATGATTTTCTTTGTCCAAGATCTGTAAAGAAATTAAAAACACTAATATAAATAATTTCAGGTTTAAAGTATTGTTCATATCATCAAAATTATGATTGATTTAATGTGATTTACTTTTATATTTTTATATCGTCAAAATTAGTTTTAAAGGTTAAACAAATGCTTAGAATTGAATTTGAAATTAATAAATACCACTTTTATGACATTTCAAATTACTCTAAATTCAAAATCAATTTATTTATTAAAAGGACAATATGTGATGAATAAAGGCGTGTTGTTTGGGTGGCAGGAATTAATGGTGGAAATTGAAGTAAGAGCAGCTCATAATGTTCTGGAAGCATGTGCCCAAACGGACACCATCGAGAAAGTTATTTTCACCTCCTCCGTTACTGCGGTAATTTGGCGTGACGGCATCAAAACGATGTCGTCCGACGTTGACGAACGCCACTGGAGCGACGTCAATCTCTGCAAGAAGTTCAAGGTAACTTTTTCTTTTTACCCCTAACCCCCTATTTCCCCATTTTTTTTACCATTCTAACTGTTGTGGGGTTTTGAACAGCTGTGGCACGCTCTATCGAAAACCCTAGCGGAGAAAACCGCGTGGGCCCTGGCAATGGATCGTGGGGTGAATATGGTGTCCATAAATGGAGGGCTGGTAATGGGCCACGACTTGACGATTAATAATCCGTATTTGAAAGGAGCGGCTGAGATGTACGAAGATGGGCTGTTGGTGACCGTAGATCTCAAGTTCATAGTTGATGCTCATATATGCGTGCTTGAAGATGTCTCATCCTACGGTCGATATTTATGCTTCAATAATATCATTAATTCTCATGAGGAAGCTCTTACACTCGCCCACATGCTATTACCGCCCTCTTCTGAAGCTTTCTCTCATTCCAGGTTCCAGCTCTCTCCCTTCTCAATTCTGCGGTTTTATATTCAGCCACATCGCCCTTATTAAATTACAAGCTTAGTTCATTATTTCTGAATTTATAGCAATCTTAGTCATAATTTCTGAATTTATATCTATTTGATGAACTTTTGAAATCGTGTTCAACAACTTAATGGGTTTTTTATTTTGTGTTTGAACAATTTGATATTGGAAGATAAAATTATGAACTTTATACCTAATAAATTAATTAGTTTAAAATTTGTAATGTGACATAAAATTCAGTGAAGCAAATTGAAAATTCAAAGCCTTTATTGTAGCTACTATAATAATTGAAGATAGATTATGAAATTTTGCTCTTCATTATATGGTTAAATATTAAGAAATTTTCAGTTTCTTTTGGGAATTCACAACATTTAATTAAATTATTTATTATTGGTGCAGTTTGGAGGAATCTGTTGTATATCAACAAGGGATAAGCAACAAGAAACTTATCAAATTGATGGTGGATTTTGAAGGTGGGGTTTCATGTTGACCACAAATCCTGCCTGCCCAACAAAATTAATTAAGATTTACCCAATTTTTATTTATAATTTGTGCATTATTATTAGGTTCATTTTGATGTTCTATTATAATATAATTCGGGTCTCTTTTTTTTTTTTTTTTTTTTTTTTTTTTTTTTTTTTTTTTTTTTTTTTTT